TTTGAGTTTGGCTTCTCTTATTTTTCTAGGAGTGGCATCATTAGGTTATTACTTGAGATCTGTCTGATTTTGTTAATATGATCATTTCTGGCTATGAAACTTACTCTTAGAATTCTTTGAGCTGTGTCCCAGAGATGCTGATAAGTTATGCTGTCATTTTTTCACCCTCTGAGTATTAATTGCCCTGAAGAGTTATTGCTAATTTCTAAGTGGTGAGATAGTATTGTGGTTATATTTTAGAGTCTTTTAGTAAAATACTTGTCTGCATGTGGATGAAATAATATTGAAAGTTTTTTTTCAAAATGATGTGGAAAGGGGAAATTGTTGGAAGTATGGAAGAAATAATATCAGCTATAAATTTATTATTGCCTTAACTGAGTGACCCACTGATGTTTATCATATGTTCTTTTTTTCTACTTTTATGCATATTTAAATGTCTTCATTGAAAATTATTTTAGTTGCATTTAGAGTGTGTGTGTGTCTGTATGTCTGCATGTGTGTGTTTACATAGACATGCATGCCCTATGTAATATGTGGAGGTCAGAGAACAATGTAGGAGGAGGGAAGTCCGTTCCCTCCTTATACCATGTGGCTCTCAGGGATCAAACTCAAGTTTGACTGCATGCACTTTCCCTGCTGAACCATCTCACTGGCCCCAGAGAAAAATATTTTTAAAATATATACATCACTGTTTTCTGAGTTCAAAAGTAACAGAATCTGACTAGACCTTTAATTCCAGCATTTGCTAGCGCTTAGGAGAATAGCATGTTGAAAGGCAGCCTAGGCTGCATCATAAAACTCTTGTCTCAGAAAGAAACCAAAAAAGGAGGGAGACAAGAAGGAGTGAGGGAGGGAAGGGCAACAACAGTCCAGAAATTGGAGCATTGAAAGTCCATTTACGTTATTTTTTTCTGGTTTTCCAAGACAGAGTTTCTCTGTGTAGCTGTGGCTGGCCTAGAACTCACAGAGTTCCTCTTGTCTTTGCCTCCCATCTGCTGGGATTAAAGGTATGTACCACCACCACCCAGCTATTTACAATTTTTAGTGGTCCAATTTCTCATGTGTGTTAATCTACCTTGTCCTATGCTCTAAGATCTGGCATGGCATAGGACCAGTGGTCCCTGTATTAAAAACTGTGCCCATCTGCATCTGCTGTACAGGTAGAAGGGGCTCAGAACCCACATGTATGCATCCTTCCATACCTTGGCATAAGTGTTAGCTGGAGTTGCCCATCGTTGTTTCCTTACCAAGAAAAAGATGAAAGAGGCCAGTGGCCAAGCTGAAAAATCTGCATCCTGGGAATCAGATATTTCTATAGCCATATTTGTTTGATTGACAGGCAGCCCTGTCTATTGTCAACTCCTCAGCCTCTCTGCCTTGCTATCTCACCTCCCTCCTCACCTGGGGCTTTTTAGTTTGAGTTTTCTGGATACATTGCTTTGTTGCAGCCACAATTACTCAAAGCACATAGCAATTTGCCTTGAGTGTTGATTGTGCACATTGGACACCTTGCTAGCCTCACATCTTTTCATCCCAAGACTCCCAATTTTCCTCTAAACTAAGACCGTGAGTGCCCTGAAAGCTTTATCTCACCAATGGGACATACATAGAAACCAGTGTCATCGAACATGTCCAGAGATGGAGTAAGCAGATTGTCTGGACAGAGGAATGTTGACATCTGAGCTGAGATGCCATGTACACTCTAATGTTACCTGTGTGTCTGCGATCCTCTCACCAGAATGGGCTCCTCCGTCACAGTGTAGGATGAACTGAAACATGTAGGACCCTTTTTGATATGTTGCCCTTCATCGTAGGGATTATGCATAGATCAGTGATACAGCAAAGAGCCTCAATACTAGACAGCTGTGTGTCTCATGTCATTAATGGTAACAATGAGGGGTGTTCATAAAACATCGTTTTCTTTCTTCCTTTTGGCAATTTTAAGAGCCAGAGCTGTTCTTAGCCTCATTTTTCAGACCAAGAGAGAAAGACTCCAGGGAACCACTCACTTGCCCAACTCAGGGAGTTAAGATACTGTGGAGGTTCAGATATGGTGAGCCACTGACCCCCAGCCTGTGCTCCAACCCCGGGGCCTTTAATTGACCCTGAGACTAGGCTGCACTCCAGGCCTGTGCTACCCTAGCCCTTCATGCCTGTGCTCTGCAGGTCACATCATCAGAAAGACCCACATGAGTCCTGCTCCCCACTGACTTGGACACCCCTGACCCGAAGGTGACTGTCCTTGAACATGTCTCTACAGCAGCAGAAATGTGAGTCCCTAATCTGCCTCCCAGCATCAGTCAGAAATTCTGGATAAGTTCTAATACCTGCCAGTCCCTAGAGTCAAAGACTCATGCCTGCATTGGAAACAGTCCTCTTCTGTTCATCCGTATATATGTACTTATTTCTTTGAAAATGATCTTAAATTCCATATATGTATTCTGTACTTACATAATTTCTTCACCCCTATTCCACCACCCCTTTCCATGTTTTCTTTTATTTTGTTCCATATATAAATGTTATTGTGTGTATAGATATATAAATGTCAGAGCCAGACATGGTGGCGCACACCTTTAATCACAGCACTCAAGAGGCAGAGGCAGATGGATATCTGTGAGTCCAAGGCCTGCCTGGTTTACAAAGAGAGCTCCAGCATAGCCAGGGTTCTTACACAGAGAAACCCTGTCTCAAAAAAAACAAGATAGATAGATAGATAGATAGATAGATAGATAGATAGATAGATAGGAAGGAAATGATATACGAATCAATATATAAATATAACATATTGCTCACACATATATCTTTTTAGGGCTGGTCACTTGGTGTTTTGGTAACTAATTAGGGAGCTTATCCTGGGAAAAACTGATTTCTCCCTCTAAGCAGTCATCAATTGCTTGTTGTTCTTCATTTAGAGGTAGAGATTTCCTCAATCCACTTTGACATGTCAACTGGTGTTGCCATTGGCTGGTTTTGTTAAGCAATCATATTGGTGAGATTTCATGGATAAAGTTTCCCTGTCATGTCTAGAAGGCACTATCTCATAGCAGATGTCCTGGTCTTCTGGCTCTTGCAATTTTTCTGCCTTCTCTTCCACCACATTCCATGAGTCTTAGTTATAGGAGTTCTTGTCAATCCATAGAGAAAGACCACCAACCCAAATCATGGCCAAATTAATTAAAATAAGTAACTAATTAAAGCAATATTTTTTGGTTTTTCAAGACAGGGTTTCTCTTTAACTTTGGAGCCTGTCCTGGAACTCACTCTGTAGACCAGGTTGGTCTCAAACTCATAGACATCTACCTGCCTCTGCATCCCGGGTGCTGGGATTAAAGGTGTGTGCCATCACCACCTGGCTCAAAGCAAGCTTTTTGTATTCATGTACAAGGGCTGTCTCCCCCAAAAGGCAGGGTTCAAGAGATCAGCATTGTACATGGGTAAGATGAGGATTTTTATAGCTCAGGAGTAGGGGGTTCCAAAATGGGGTATTTGGAAGACAAATAGGTAGGGTTACAAAACGTAACATAGGCATAACAAGTTGGCCATAACAACCTCCTGAAACAAAGACATGGTTGCAAGGTAGTCTTAACAAGATAATCATAACAAAGTAGTTGTAACAATATGGTTACAGCAGGGTAGTTATAACAGTGTGGTCATAAATGCAACAATGCATCCGTTGATTACCACCAAGATATAATTGCCACCATTGCATGTGGTGATGTATTATTTATGATTTAATAAAGTCACTGGAGATAAAAATGCAAAGCTAGTCATAGCTATAGAGCCGGGCAGTGGTGATACACAGCTTAATCCCAGCAGCCACACTAGCTAACCACAGAGGCCAGATGATGTGTCACACACCTTTAATCCCAGGACTCAGGAGACAGAGGCAGGTAGATCTCCGTAAGTCCAAGACCACCCTAGGCTACAGGAGAGAGTGAATCAGCCATAAAGAATAACAGAGCTAATGCCTTTAATCCCAGCACTAGGGAGGTATAAAAGGAAGAAGCAAAGGGTCTCATGTGAGATTTAGTTTCCAGACAGGGAAGGCATTGCACTCTTAGGATTGCTGGAGGCATTTGCCTCGGGATCCTGGAGAGCATTGCCTCTTCATGGAGACAGGATCTCCAATTCAGCCTTGGTAGAGATAAGAGCTACTGGCTGGCTGCTTTGCTTTTCTGATCTTCAGCTTGAACCCCAGAATCTGTCTCTGGGTTTTTATTATTCACATTACAATTGTACCTTAAGGGATGTATTATGTGCTGGTCATTGTTGTGGTTCATAGGTATCACAGCTGGGAAGGGCTATTGCTTTCTTTTTCCCCCTTGCATATCACCTCCCTGTGCCATTGAAATTAATCCTCAAGGAAGAGGCTTTCAGATCAGATCCAACTCAGTTCTTCCAAGTCTTGCATCTGAAGTTCACAGTGTTCCACCAACAATATGGACTCACCTTCAAATTCTGGCAGTCTGCAATTTACATGAACTTTGATGAACTCATGCTGAGTGACATAAGCTAATCACAAAAAGACAAATGCTGTGAGATTTTACTTAGAGGAGTGTCTAGTCACATTCGTAGAGACAGACGGTAAAATGGAGGCTGCCAGGCTCTAAGGGAAGCAGGACTAGGGAATCAGTGTTGAGTGGGGCCAGTCTCCTTTTAGGCAGACAGAATGTTGTGGAGGTGAAAAGTGGGTAGCTGCATCATCTAACATCACCGAACTATGAGGTTAAAATGGTAACTCAGATTAAATGCATTGACCCATAAGTTACTAGCAAGGCTTCAAATGATTCTCTTCTGTGAATATGACCCCAGGTGCTTGCCAAAAGGAAGTTGAGACCATCCTTTCTTGCCTGCCTCCACTTTGGAAGCTGGTGGTCCACTGGCCAGGAAGTGCTTATGACAGCCAGGAAGCTAAGGGCCTGCCTTCAGCAACTTCCTTTGATGAAGAGCAAACCACAGGAGAGGAGCTAACATGCCCTTGTGCTCTCCTTTGTCCCCAGGTGGCAGTGACAGAAGAGGAGACGCTTGTGGCTGGAGCTGCGGTGCTGGAGGCGGAGGAAGGAGTCTCCTAACTGGTGCCACATACATCAGGTCAAAGCCATTTCGTCATTTTTTAGTCACACCAACCAAATCTTACTCCAAAGTAGGAGCCAGATGCAGATAGGACACCACAAACAGCTAGCTCTGAGATTATAACCCCCTGCCTGACACCACCTAGGTCCCACATCCTAGGCTTTAGGAGTGTTTGTCTTCCCATCTCACAGCAGTGAACACCTTGTCACAGCCAGCCAGATAAGGCCTCACTCCAAAGATGCAAAGGCTGCTCACTGAAAGCGCCCACCCCCTGATTATCATAGAAAGAGGAGCAAAAGGTATTCAACAATACCATGCAGTGTGCAAAATCAACCATGTCCTTGATGGTATAAAATTATGCAGCATCTGTCCTGGCATCGGTGAACTTCCCATAAAAGCCCATAAGATGATACTTTTAATTCTGTGGACTTGATGGTCTCTGATAATCAACTCATTCATGTGCTAGTGACCGACTTCCAATAAAACTTTATGTATAAAAACAGACAGCGGGCCACATTTGGTCAGTCATCTACATGATGCTGGATGCATCTGTTCCTTATCAGCCCTCACTGAGAACAAAAGTAGCTCCAAAACTGCTTTCCCCAGGTGACACACACACCCAAAGCCGCTTCCTCCAGCTGTTTCAGGCACCCATCTTGTTCCTCTGCCTGCAACTGTTCCGTTCAGGACATCTGACATCCTGTAAATGCAGTGGGGCTGTCACTGTGAATGTGAAAACTCAGGGAGCTCCAGTTAGCCAGGACTGAACTGGGAGTCTCTCTTAACAGCCAACAGATTAGATTTCAGCATACTACAAGACACAGCACAGATCCCAGTGCCCCGTCTCACAGTGCTGCCTAGGACTGATGCTTCAGTGTGGCTTTAATGATGTAGCAGCTTACATGTAAAGAAGGGAATTATTCAAAAACTAATTCAGAACTGTGCAATGGAGGTGGTAGGGACTTCTGACTGCTGGGACTCTGGTATGTGTGTATAAGTGTGCATGTGTGTCAGTGTGTATGTGAGTGAGTGTGTATGCATGTGTGTCAGTGTGTATGTGTGTGAGCGCGTGTGTGTCAGTGTGAGTGAGTGTGTATGAGAGTGTGAGTGAGTGTGGGAGAGAGTGTGTATGTGAGTGTGTGTGCACATGTGCGTGTGTCAGTGTGAGTGTGTGAGAGTGTCTGTGTGAGTGAGTGTGAGAGTGTGTGTATGTGAGTGTGTGTGTGGGCACGCGTATGCCTCTGGTCCACTGCATGGTGAGAGACGCCCTCCTCTTGTCCCTGCAGATGGATGGTCTCTAGCCTGCTTCCAAACCCGCCCTCGGCTGAGTGCTGGGCAGTGCTTCTACATGATCCTATGACGCTTGATATGGACGCAGTCCTGTCAGACTTTGTTCGGTCCACGGGGGCAGAACCTGGTCTGGCCAGAGACCTGCTAGAAGGTATGTGGACCTCATTGTCCCCAAACCACTCATTCAGGTGTGAACAGAAGATGAGGGGGGTCTTCATGGCCTCACTGTGGTGTCACTCAGACAGCATTTGGCCACTTTCGAAGTAAAATGAAGTGTTAATGTTGGGGATGGAATTCTTCTGTCTTGCTTGCCATTATTTGGGACAGGACATGGATCACCAGCTGTTAATATGCACAGAGAGAAAGATGACAATGCTGGTGAATGCTTCCAGAGAGTTAGCCCAACTAACAGTAATCATTTTTAAGAACAGTATATTCCAGTGGAGTCACATTCAAGAATATACTTTCCATGGAAACCTTCTCTCCTATCTTTGTCTTAGCTGAGACACAAATATCTTAGGCCAAAGTTATGGGGGAAAAAACTACCTGGTAACCAGGAAATGAAATGCCCCCTTGGACTTTGCAGGTAAAGTGCTTGAGACATGCAAAGCATGTGCCTGGTGTAGATGGGGTATTCCTAGGGCTCTCTCTATTCAGCCGTACTCATCACAGACTGGGATTGACCTTGGTTCTTCCTCTTGAGTGACGACACAGTTGAAGCAAGGAAAACTAAAAAGCTGATAACTGCTGCATAGGACATTCAGGCATGGGACAGAGGGGATTGTTTTTCAAGACTGATCTGCCTCCTGTACATAAACCACTGTGGAGTTGGGAGCTATTAAGTATTATAAGCCACAGTGACTCTCAGGGTCAGTTAGAGAAAACCGAATGACTAGGCATTTTCATAAACAGGGGTAGTTCCTGAATGTTGGAAGCTCTTGTTGGGGTGCCAAGGAAATCTTAATGCACGATCTGAAGTTTTCCCTTGGCCTCTCATTATTTCAGCCCAATTCATGGTTTCAGTGATGCGTGGTCCTTGCTACCCTGTCTCCATGCTATGTGAAGTCCCTTGAGCTCCCTGCTGCTCAGGTTACTTCTGTAAAGCAGCCTAGAAAAGAACAAGTTCTGACAGAGGCTGCTATGATGCTGGTCCATTCCGGACCCCTGCTTCTCAAATGAGAATAGTCGATTATTTTTGCTTCCTTTATCCTTAGGTGATTTTTTTAAGGGGGAGCAGGAGGATTTCTCTTTACATTGGCACCACTCACCTTTACTCGATAATCGTGAACAGTTGAAGGTGACCCAGAATCTTGCTGCTGTAGCCAGCTGTTGTGTCTCATTTCTCTTTATTTCCCTTGCACAGACTCCAAACAATATTATTTCTGCTTTTCTTCGTACTTTTTTTAGTTACGATACACAAAAACTGGATTTTATGTGCCAATCTATGCATTTTAGCATATGGTTGGATTCCTGTGATAGCCCTGCTGTCAGGCCCAGGGTCTCCAAGGGCTGGGTCCCAGCCAGATCCTCAGGCAACCACAGATGAAACCTTTGCACCGCTGGCTTTGTCTCTCCACAGAGAAGAGTTGTGATCATGGAGTCCTATTGTTTGATCTTTCGGAACCAGCATTTCCCTGGCGCCTAGTCCATCACTGCTCCTAAACTGACCTGACTGAGCATCTAGGGAATAAAGAAAAGACAGACAGATACACAGAAAGTTGTTGTGGGTTGGTCTGGACTCTCTGCTGGAGAAATCACAGCACCTCAGAACCACAACCTGTTTACTATATATGGTGGAACAGAGGCTGGGCTGTTGCATACAGGTAAACAAGGAGGTGGGGTTTATGGTTCACAGCTGAATCAAGGAGACAAGTTCAGCTAATCTCAGTAGGAGCAGTCTCCATAGGGGAGCAGTCTTCAAGCCTGCAAGCCGTAAGGTTGGGATGGGATAGGATGGAGAAAACTACGGAGAGCATTTTCTGCATATACTATCCACACAGGGACCAAAAGGGAAGGCTTTGCCATTTCCCTCCAAGCCACACCCCAGGGGAGAAGGCTTTGTCATTAAAAGATGGGTCTGAGACCAGGTGGTGGTGCCTTTAATCCCAGCACTGAGGCAAGTTCCAGAACAGGCTCTAAAGCAACACAGAGAAACTCTATCTCAAAAAAAAAAAAAAGTGGGGGTCTGAGGCTCCATGGTCCTTGACATGTCTAGGTCATGTCAACACACATTCACTCAGGGCTTCACTCACTCAGGGCTTCCTCTGTTCCCTGCAACTCAGTACAATTCCTGAGAGTTCATCTCAGTAGTTTCTTTTTCATTGCTGAGTAGTAAGATATTGACCATAGTTTGTGGATCTAGTCATCTGCTGAGGGGCACTTCAGTTGTTACTAGTTTGCAGCAGTTACCCTGAAATGTCTGCAGATATCTACAACAGACTTTCTGTGAAGGCACTGTTAACTGTACCTAAGTCGGGCTCACTTGCTGCCTATGGTGTGTTTTTGCCTATCCAAGACCCTGGCCTGGCATCCTGTTTCCCACAGTGGTCGGCCAGCCTGAGTCCCTACTAGCAGCACATGAGACACTGTCTAGGCCATGTCCTCGCCAGTTTTCTTTGCTTCTGTAGATTTTAATCATGCTAATAGGAGTGTGGTGGTATTTCTCAATGGTTTGGTTTTCATTTACCCAACAGCTTATGGTGCTAAACTAGTTTCATGCCAGGGTGTGTGTGTGTGTGTATGTGTGTGTTTGTTTTGTCTGAAAAATCCATCTTGTGAAACTTCTGTTCATACTTTTTACATATTTATAACTTAAATCTTTTTCCTGCATGGGAGCATCAAAATGTCTGCATATAATGAGTTCAAATCCTCTACCAGATACACTGCTAGGCTCCATCTTCTCCTCATGGAGGCTTTGCTGCTGGAAGATAAGTTTGATACAATTCAGCTGGCTGGTTTTATAGTTTGTACCTCACACCTGCGGGAGTAAGAGCCTTGATGCAGCTCCAGAGCCGAAGCTCTTCTAGAATGTACTCATAAAAGTTTTACATTTTTGAAATATGATTGTTTTTTATTTAAATAGAAGTTAATTTTAAAAAACCTTTTACATTTTTGTGTTTTCCACTTAGATCTGCGACCCATTATAAGTTTTACTTTTGTGTGATGTGTGGGGTTTTGGCTCAGGTCCATTTTTACTTATATGAATGTGAGTAGTTTTAACACCATTTGATGAAAATGTCCCCTGTCCTCCACTGAATGAGAATTACCTCTTTGAAAAGCACCCAAGTGCATGTGTAGGAATCTATATCTGCTGTTGCCCGTGGCATCTGTTTCCGTAGCTGGCAAGTATACCATGTTGGCTCCTGCCGTGCAGTGATTCTCACAATCCGAAGGCGTGATCCTCCAGAATTCACTCTTCCCTTTCAAAATGATTTCACGGCTCCATCTCCTTTGCCTCTCATCAAAATTTTGGGATGACCTTGCCTCTTACTTGGAAGTGGCCAGGGATTTTGACTGGAATTCTGTTGTGTTTAAGGACTCCCTTGCTACATTAAATCTTAACTGATGAGGTTCAGCCCTATTTTCTATTTTTATTGGTCTTGAGTTCTTTCATCAAATTGTGTAGGCATCAGAGACAGTTCATACCTGCTTTTTTACATTTGAAAATGAGAGTCTTGTTTCTTGAAATGGTAATTCAATTTTATCTGCCTCTATTGTTCATTGCTAGAATGCTAAAATATAATTACTTATGTATTGAGGTTTTAGCATGAAATGGCCCTAAAGTTAACTTAAATACTTAATTTTTAAATTTTTTCTTTTATTGAAAATACATTTTTTTCTGATACAATATCCTGATTATAGTTTCCCCTCCCTCTATTCCTCCCCGCCTCCTGTCCCCTCTGGATCCACTTCCTTTCTGGCTCTCGTTAGAAAAGAAGAGGTTTCTAAGAGATAACAACCAGCCGGGCATTGGTGGCGCACGCCTTTAATCCCAGCACTTGGGAGGCAGAGGCAAGTGGATCTCTGTGAGTTCGAGACCAGCCTGGTCTACAGAGTGAGTTCCAGGACAGCCTCCAAAACAATACAGAGAAACCCTGTCTCGAAAAAAAAAGAGAGAGATAACAACCAAATATGACAAAATAAAATAATAATAAGATAAAGCAAAAACCGTTATACCACATTTGGACAAGGCTAGCCAACTGGAGAAAAAGAGTCCTGAGAGCAGGCACAAGAATCAGAGACCCACTCATTCTCATACTCAGGAGTTCTATAAAAGTTCTAAGCTGTTCTACACGATCATAAGCATTGTCTTTTTCCTTCTGGTGCTATAACCACATGCTCAGCTCTCCACTTATGTTTCAGTATTGCTTCATCGCCGAGACTTTAGGTTTTGTGAGCATACAGATCACATGCATTTTTCGTTATTGATACCCAGTTACACACATCTACCATGTTTTGAGTTAGTAAATTAATTAACGAATAAATCTCAGAATGGTGAAAAAATACTAAGCTAAAAGCTGTAATATATACACAGAGAAATGCCTCCTCTTGTAGGCCCTGTCCTTGCTATTTCAGTTTCTATGAGTTCATATGCACCTTGCTTAGTTGAATAAAAGGGTCTTGTTCTCCTGGTGTCCTCCATTCCCTCTGGTTCTTTCTGCCTCCTGTTCAGCAGCCATGAGCTCTTGAGGGAGGAATTTGGTAGAGACATCCCATTTAGACCGTCTTTCCAAGTAATGTCTGTCTATGGGTCTCTGCATCTGTTCCATCTGCTGCTACAGGAAGTCTCTGATGATGACTGGGTAAGGCAATGATGAATGGGTATAGCAGAATATCACTAGGAGTCAATTATTTGATACTTTTTTAGAACAATAGTGTCTGGTTTTTTTCTAGGTCTCTGGGCTATCTAGTCTCTGGTTCTTGATCACTCAAACAGTGTTGGATATGGGTTCTGTCTCATGGACTGGCCTTAAGTCAAATCAGACATTGATTGGTGACTTCCACAAGTTCTGTACCACCATTACCCTAGCATATCTTACAAGCAGGACATATACACATCAAAGATTTTGTGGCTGGGTTCATGTGATGCTTCTCTTTTGGTAACCTGAAGAGTACCTTCCCTCACCAAAGACACTAGAAAATAGGGGTGAA